CAAGATGACTGTGCACTTTTTTAGGGTGACGAAACTTACAAGTATTTCAATTACAGCTCAATGAAGCAGTTTGGAATCGCAAGAATAGCATTGAAGAAGTCCCTTTCGCTGCTGCAAAAAGACCAAGAAAACTCTATACGTCAGTGTAGTATAAAATCGGTTTTGCACATCCAATCCCTCAGCCTTTGAATTCAACACCTCAATTGTGAAAAAAGCGTATTTTCATGCATATATACGGACGGGAGAGGTCAAACTCAAAACGAGAGTTAGAAATATTATTTTCGTCACTCCTGCCCCCACCTTGGCTCTCACCGCAACTTCCTCACCACCACCGCAGATCGGGGCCTAATATTGGTCTAGATTAGGATCCAGGTCAATCGGGCGAAGTTTCTTTTTAGTCGACTTTCGTTTTTAGTCCGTCAACTTCACCGCATCCGCAGAGATATCTTGTCCCCCCCCCCCAAAAAAAAAATGAAAAAATGAAAAAATGAAGAAAAAAATGAGAAAAATAAATGAGAAAAATGATAATAATAAACAACTTAAAAAGCCCACCCCGTAAACGCATTTAAAAAGTTGTAATTAGGAAACGTGTTAAATCACCATAGATGCATGCTGGATGGCTTTCACATGTCTTAATTACATTTAATTATTCACTGTTCGATACATTGATTAGCTTGCCTCTGAGATAATTGAAATTAATTGATTTTCACTTTAAGTCTTATTGTTCAGTTGAGTATGAAAGGTAACTTTTAATAAGCAATTATTGTTTCCGTTTTAATGAGCGGTGTTGTTGTGGTTTCATTAGCTGAGAAGCTTTGTCAAGGGTCTTCTGTCTAATGACTTTTCTTCGGGAAACCATTCTGGAGGGATTGTCTCTGCCTCCATCTCCTCTCCTTCTCACCTCTCCTCCTCACCTTTCTCATCCTCCTCCTTCTTCCCCTCCTTCTCCTCATCCTCTTCTTTATCTCACTCCTTCTCTCCATCCTCCTTTACATCCCCATATTCTGCCTTTCCTCCTCCTTCTCCGTCTCCTCCTCCTTCTCCTCCTCCTCCTTCTCCTCATTCACCTACTGCTCCTCCTATTCCTCCCGTCTTACACTTTTCTCTGGCTTTTCTCCGTCTATTTCCTCTTCCAATACTATAAGGCTGTATTTATTCACTCGATATCGTGGCGGTTCCAATTGTGGCAATTAGTGGCTGCTAAGTGATTAGGTTCGCCACCGATAGAATATCCCCTTCCTTTGCGTTTCCTCCCTAAGGACTCAACCCCGACCGTGACCTTGCTTCATTGTATCCTTAGGAAGCCCCCCCCCCTCCCAACCCTCATCCCTTCCATTTTCCACATAAGCTATGAAATGTACAGAGGACCACGAATGCCGAGGTACTCCCTCTAGGCTCTAACCATTTTACGCAGAGCTATAACTTAAAGATATTACTTGGGTTACTTAAGGAGGTTTTTATGATCTGATGATGAAGAAACGGAAGTTGACGGGAAAGAAGATGGGAGGAATCAGAAGTATTGAGGAGGAATAGGATGCAGATTAAAGAAATGTGGGGGTGATTAAAGTGTAATATGTACGAAGCACACTCAGCCCGTCAAACCGTTGGTTAAAAAATGGGCATACGAGCCCCGTGCACCTCTCCCTCTCTCCCAATCTCTCTTTCTCTCTCCCAATCTCTCTCTCTTTCTCTCTCTCTCTCTTTCTCTCTCTCTCTCTCTCTCTCTCTCTCTCTCTCTCTCTCTCTCTCTCCTCTCCTCCTCCTCCTCCTCCTCCTCCTCCTCCTCCTTTCTTTCTCTCTTCCGAAATAACTGTTTAAGTGGAGAGATATGAAGAAGGATGAGTTTGAGATTAAGAGGGGAGAAATATTATCTTAATGACACACGCAATGTTTCACGCAATGCTAAATTGGTTACTTTTCAATCAGTTCCGCCCCTGCTCCTTTTGTCATTTTGGAAAGAAAAAGGGAAAAAACTTATCAGGTTTCTTTTCATTGTAAAGTAGAGGGTAAAGACGTCGTAAAATATTGAAATTGGGTTCTTGCTTGAAGCAAGCAGGGAGGTGAGATACACGTTTATATGAGGTGTATTAATAGTCATAGCCTGTGTTGTGAGCCAGAGAGCTGGAAGCAATGGGCCACGCGTGAGACGGAGAAAAGACCGGTCGACTCTCGGCGCAGGATTAGACCAGCACCACCCCGCTGAACAAACAGAGTTGTCAGAAAGGCCAAGGGTATATACCCCAAAACCTCAGTGTCGTTGATCATTTAATAACAAGAAGCTCCACCGGAGAAGGGAAAATAAGAGAAGAGGGAAGCGAGTGGTTTGTTTAATAAGGGCATCGTTTGCTGTGGGGAATTTGAGTAATGATAATGTAATTATCTGCTTATCAATTATGCGTCGTGATGGGTTCGAATCGATTGGCCTATTTTGACAGACTTGGTCCGCAAGGCCGCCAAAGTAGCAAGAAGTAATTCACGCATCACCGCAGCTGATGCAAGATGGGGCAGATTTAGAGAGAAAGCCAAAAAACGACTCAATTTCCTCCGACATTGCTCTTGCCTGAATCGAGGCTAGTCAAGTGCTGTGACACAGTTTTCGAGCTATTATGCCTTGCATCTCGAGTGAGGAAGACGTTATTGAACGGTCTCAGTTACCTCTTTTCGTCTTATAGCATCTCATTCGATAACTTCCAGGGCCTTCAAATGAAGTTTTCGTCTAGGAGCTGTTTTCATTTCAGTTTGCGAGAGCCTTCCAAGTCGCTCTGCTTTTTATTCACCCTCATGGCTTCCACAGCGCGAAAGAAGGAAAGCGCGCGCGCGCGTCACGCCTGCGAGCCAAGAGACTTTATATCGAAAAGCGGTCGTAATTAGTTTTAGGGGCGCGTGCAAGGGCTTGCCGATATTCAATCCATTGTCCGCGCTTCAACCAAGTGTTCATAATTGCTTTTCGATTGCTATTATTAGTATTAATTACACGATAACGACGGGAAGAAATGGGTACCGTTTGCATTAGTGGATACTAGAGCGGTTACAATTCAAATGGATGCACAATGATTCAGAAACCTGAAAGGGAGAATATGAAAGAACCCTCGCGAACCGTGAAAGAAAACCCCAAGTTTCCTGCGCATTGCTTGATTGATTTTGCTTATTAATTCCCCGTCCCTTAAATGCCGCATTTATAGGAGCACACAAAAGGGTGTCGTCGTCGCCTCGCGTTAACTAAAGACACAATTCGGATGTTAAGCGAGAGATTTTCCCCTCCCTCTTTGGCATGAAAAGACACGTCGTCTTATCGCCCATAACGAAGTCGATATAAGAATGATTTTGGCGCGCATTAATATTTTCGCCCCCGTGCCCATGTTTGCTATACCAATATTTGCAGGCGTATCTATGTACGTGTGCGCGTTCATGATCTAGCCTGGGCTCAAACACTAGAGTGAATGAGCTTTAATTTCCGTGCAAACATGAGATTGCCTCTAGATTAGTTCTTAACTCGCATGAATATCACTACCCTTAAACGAAGCCATTTCAAATCTATCATTCCATGTTGCCCGTATGGCCATTAAGTGACGTCGAGAACCGTTTACTTCGCGACCAGATGATGAAAAATGTTCAATCTATTTAATTACTGAATCGTTTTTGCCTCGATGCAAGAGAACTATTAAAGTATTAACCTTATCTAGCGTTGGGCAGCCATCGTAACGACGTAATTGAGAGATTAAATAAAACACCGTCCTTTTTCGTCAGGAGATTAATGCACCGAAATACATTCTATTTTTTAACTCATTTGCATAAGCGGAATTCCTATGGGTTCCATTACAATATCCCCATTATAACCAAGGTTGTATAGTCAACATTTACTAAAGTGAATTTAGCAAATTTAATTTTGGTTCGGCTAGCAGCGCGAAATGACCTTAAAGGTTCCCAATCAACGGAGTAAATAGCGAATAAATTGGACCCATTGTCATCTTTGTTTGTGGCTATTGTGTCATGTTTATCGAAGGAAATTTAGGGTAATTTCTCTTTTCAAGTGCTTGATGGAGGGACAATTTTCGTTTAATTCGAGGAGAATTGCCCGCTTTATTGAGTGCACCTACAAAATGAGCATTTTGATTGAAAGGGAATTAATGTTCGTATTGGGACTTGGTTTTTTTCTTTTCTCTTTCTGTCACTGACTGTCTTTACTGAACCATCATGTAATATCACTGTGTCTTGAATGCTTGTGATATCTCAGAGAGGTACATCATCATTAAAAACGTTGTAGAATATGTTTTTTTTCATCGAATCCTCTTTAACCTTCCTTGTTATCGTTTTTCATCATTATCCTCTCTGAAGTAAGCTCCCTTTTCATAATTTTTCTAAATCGTTTTTTTTTGTGTTGGTTAATATTCCTTGCCATGAATACTTTCAATGTCAGTCTGGCTAATCCTGTCACTCAATGACGTACCATTTATAAAGCTGTAATTCCACTATTTTCATTCTTCACTTCATATGAGCATCGTTACTTTTCTTATTATTGTTCCCCAATGGCTGCCTGCTCTATTCATTAATCCTCCTCTACCTTGCAATATTTACCCATAATCTACCTTTTATTATAGGCATTTCGTTGGTCAAATTAAGGCTGTCACACGGCACAGAAAACGTCCCTTTCCAAAAATGAGTAATAACATTGTATAGGACCTCGCTAGTGGGTTTAACAATAAATACTAATAAAGATTGTCAACTGCATTGACAGAATGCCTATTTAATGAGAAAGATTCAATAAGCATTCAAAACGCCACTACATATATCATATTTCAGGTTATTGCGGTTGTCAACTGCAATTACATGACAACGGGTGACTGGGCACGGATAATTATAGCTGTCAATTTAGGGCACAAGCATGCTCCATGTTTTTAATTAATTTTCGAATGAAATGAATTTTGCAATTACAGCAGACGTTTGATAATAAAAATGTAATTCTTTCTTATTATGTTTTTTTGTTATCTCTTTTGCTGCAGGTTTGCTAATTAAGACTTCATGAACGAGCCTCATCTCTCTCTCTCTCTATCTTTGAAGGATCCTGACGCGATGACGATCTTCAGATTGGCAACGCTGACAGGCATCAAGCTATAAATGGACTGTACATATTCACGCCAAAGGACTTATGTATTCGAAGAACGGAATGGAGATGAAAGTCGTGACTTTAACATGTGACCTTCGACACGCATGTCGTTGCTATGGACGCTATGAGATGGCGCACGAAGTATACCCCACCGACGAAAATCAGAATTCGTCCAGGAACGGCAGAAAGGAAAAATCAAAATATTCCTTTAAAAAAAAAATCGTCGGGAAATTAAATCGTTTATGGTCGAAGGATCGTCGTGACGACCACGTGACTATGTGAACTAAATGAAATCACAATCGCTAGCATCAATGGACAATTGTTTTTATATTTAGTGGTATCGATGTTTTCGCACTATTTTGCACTTATTATATGAACATATCATGACAGTTTTTATCAAGGAGTTTCTAAACCAGGGTTTGAATCTTTAAAAACAAAAAAGGCAACGCTGGGATAACTTTTGAGAAAGAATATGACAAAATGTAGCATTGAAATGAAGAAGAAAAAACGAGTCTTGTAGCCGTCCTGTCATATTGCTAATGCTTTGTCAATTTCGTCAAAACGACTGAGTGACAACGATGCTAAATATGAACATTGCTTGATGTCGAAATGGTTGTTTTTCTAAATCATTTTTAATTTCTTCTGCACTGAAATCGCTATGAGCTTTTATACTAGCTGAACTGAAGCCATCGTGACTGGATTGATTGCTAAGTGGACACGGTCTTTATATTTCGTCGTTTTTATCGTGTGTGTGTTGCTGCAGCTTGGTATTACAACCCCGTGTTTGTGATGGATTCTCGTCGCTCAACGGTTTTTATGCGAAAACCGCAGCGTATAATGAAAGGAAGGAGGAGGAGAAAATAAAATGGAACGAGTTCCTCTGACAACCATCTCATATCTATAACCGGCCATGTAATAATAACGTGCTTTGGAAAACATGATCATTCTTCATTGACAGGAGCATTATTGGACGTGTCTCACTCTTCATAACTATCAGCTCTCTTCATTAACTCATGACAGGATACAATGTGCGAGAGGAGGACGCACCCCGGATGGACGAGCGAAATTAATTAATTGTGCTTTCACTGATCATACATTCTACCGGCAGACAACCTATATGCCTAATATCAGATGGAACCGGATCATTTTATTCGAAACACTTCGGGCAATGTACAATCGTATCTAATTAGCCTGTCTAACCTTCAAATACTTGGAAAGTAATTACGTCTGAGTGAGAGAAATAGGAATGACGGGAGAGAGATTGGGGGGGGGGGGGGAGTGGAGAGCTGGAGTGACGTGGTTCAATTCAAAATGGCGACCCCCATCACGATCTGTCCACTTTAATGAAATTGCGCGCGTGAAGTTGATTGCGAAGTTCGTCTGCTCTAAGCGACGGGCATGTATGCAATCCAAAAATGGACTTGAGTTAATTGATGAGATTGTGTGTAGTCAGCTGCTGGGTCCCCAATCTTCCTCCTTATCTCTCTCTCTCTCTCTCTCTCTCTCTCTCTCTCTCTCTCTCTCATTTATTTTTTTCTTTCTGTATTCCTCTTTCTCTCTCTTTCTCATACATTGTATCTGTGTGTCCTTATCTCCTCTCTCTATTCATAGTTCTGACCAGTGCTGCATTCCACTTTTCCTCTATTTATTTTGACTCAAGTCTTATATTTACAAACTTACGTTTGTCGTACATCCTTTTTGCATTCTCTCTCTCTCTCTCTTCCACTCTCCAAAACTTGATTATACTTATTATCCTGAGAACAAAACTCTCCTCCAAAAAAAAAAGCCCCTCACCCATTTACGCCAAGTCTTGGTTTAATGCCTTACCCCCCTTCGCCGCGCAGCCTCGTTAAAAAGCTGATTGTTACTTAGCAGAAGCCGTCGGGAGATGTCAGAAATGTAGTCCTACAAAGTGAGATAATTTTTGCGCCTACCTTCGGGAGAGGCGCCTTTGTTTATACAGCCCGCGTAAATGGGCCGGAGAAATCTTCTCTCTCCTCTCTCTCTCTCTCTCTCTCTCTCTCTCTCTCTCTCTCCCTCTCCCTCCCTCCCACACTCTCTCTCTCTCTCCGACACTCTCTCCGTTGCTCACCCGCAAATCACTTAAAAGCTCTACCATGATGCATCACCTCTCGTGAAAGTCCACCATCTTTTAGTGATGTAATTATTTTTCATTTTCACTTCAATCTTTCAGAAAGTATTGTGAACCAGGAGTATTGCAAATTAATTTATTCCGTTTCTACAGAAATAACAAGAACGATGATTCCATTGCCTTTCTTCTTTTATTATACATTTTTAAGGTAAAATATACAACTTAAATGTAAAGGTGCGCTTATTTATCTTTTTGTATCATCTCTACCCTGCGTTAGTTCTTATGACGTCACAATAAAGAGCGGGTTTCACGAGAATTAAACTGTTTTATACGAAGTAGTCCGAATATGGTATAAGTATAAGTATAACTGCTGCAAAATGTTTTTACCACAATGTACTAATGTTTGTACGAAATAATGTGCGGATTCCTTTTTTTCTCTCCCCCTCTTTTTGGTTTATGTTATTAGAATGGGTGATATGGATCTTAATCCAGCATTTTATTATTTTCTTTTATTCTTTAAGAACAGAGTCCCAAGACTGCCGTGCCCCTGTTTAGTTTACTTGTGACCGGGGCGGGAGTAAACTGGGACTCTTTTCGACTTCTTCCCCCACCATTTTTCCTTGAACAATACTTGAGTTCATTTTGTATGCATGGTTGCCATTTTGTAGTATTTATAGCTAAGGGGCAAAAGAACTTTTTTTTTTTTTTACTATGTTCTTCATATTTTGACCAAAAAAGTTGCAGTCTATATATATTTGATACATCTTCGCAATGTTTTTTTTTCTTTGTCACTCTTTCCAAAATATTTGATGATATTTATGTTGATGGGAGGATGTAAGGATGTATTTCAATTCGTGCTTGGTGGATCGCTTGCGTACGTACAAGGCTCTGGCAAATTCATATATTATATATGATAGTATGTTACATGATTATTGTACAGTAATATGTAACCCATGTGTTTATGCGACGAAATATGACGAAGATTTATTATCACTATTATCATGATTAAGTTCATTGTTCATGTCGTGCTTTTCTTCTATTTGTGAATAGTGGGAGAGTACTTGAAGATTCTGATGAAATGCAAGAAATTGATATTAAATTGTGCACGTTCTTACTTGAACACTAAACATGTTTTGACTCTCTTTATTCTGTCCATAAAGCGTATTTGTTTCGTCAGATATAGTTGTCGTTTTGGGGGGTTAATATTGTTGTAATTTGTAGTACTTTAAGTGAACACTTGTGCCAGGCAAAGGGTAGTGACTGATAATGTGTTGATGAAAATTTGAGGTGGTGGTGAAATCATGTTGATGGGTGTGGTCAATGGATAGAACTTGTAACCATGGTAATTGTGATGCTGATGTTATATAAGTCCCGAGTCTTGTTGTAATATTAAAGGATGTTGAGTTATCCTTACGTAGACTATCTGATTTTCACCTGTAACTTATATTCATTTTCGAAAGTCATCAGGAGAAAGAAAGAGAAAAAAACAACAACATGTCATTTAGCTCGGGGATGTACAATTCATGAAGCGAAACAGCTTATGAAAATTTTGCTTTTAAAAGCTTTACAGAGTGACTATATCCTATATTCCTAAGTGCCTCTTTACTAATATTACAACACGAGCTAGGGTGCACGTTTGACAAGTAATACCATGTCTCATATAATCATTAGTCATCTTGGATAGTCACAGCTATTCTTATTGTATTCTCACTGGAATGTAACTGTAGAATTTTCCCCTAAATCCCCTTGCTTTTAATGGTGATCTCTGAGCAATAAGCAACATATTCCACGTCGAGCGGAAAAAAGGGGGAACCGCGATATTTTATTATTTCTATCCCATTAGCGGGTATAGAATAGCATTTGACTAATGCCCGCGAAATGCCGGGGAGGGATTAGGAGTATAATAACGAGGTAGACTATGCGGCCCATTTAGTTAATCCAGATTTCGTTAAGCACCTCCATCTGGCGACGGGCATATACAAGATCTGCTCTAATTATTCAAGATGTACACCCCCCCCCCCCCCCCCATCTCTCTCTCTCTCTCTCTCTCTCTCTCTCTCTCTCTCTCTCTCTCTTTTAAATCTCTACTTTATCTTTTTCTTTATCTTTCTCCCCCCCCTCTCTCTCTCTCTCTTTCACTCCCTCCCTCTCCCTCCTCCTTACTTTCCTCTCTCTCTCTCTCTCTCTCTCTCTCTCTCTCTCTCTCTCTATTATATATACATATGCCTACCCTGTCCCTCGCTCCTTTTATCTTCCTATCTATGTCTTTCTCTCCAAAGTCTCTCCTCCGTCTTCCTTTTTTCTCTTCCTCTTCTCCAGTTCATTTCTTTCTATCTATATCCTCATCTCTCTCTCTCCCCCCTCTCTCTCTCTCTTTCTTTCTCTCTCTCTTCCTCTTCCTCCCTCTCCCTCTCTCCCTCCATCCCTCCCTGTTTTCATTTTCTGCTCCGAACGACTATTAAAATGCAGCTCTAGCTGTCTAGCCCCGAAAATGGCGCTCTCAAATTCAAGCTGTCGTCTTTAAGAGACCTTTAAACGATCTTCTTTTTGGTCGCCTCCCTGACAATTGTCCTGCTTTAAATGTCCATCGCTGCCCCCCGTGGGACACAACCATAATGATTCTCTTCTCTTCCTATCTCCATATTCATTGGGTTATCTCGAACGAGCGGATCCGTGAGTATTCAGAGCAGTCACAAACACGTAGAAACTGGACGTCTGGGAGTATAGGAGGGGTGAAAAGGGGAAAACGCGAGAGAGAGAGAGAGAGAGAGAGAGAGAGAGAGAGAGAGAGAGAGAGAGAGAGAGGGAGGGAGGGAGGGGGAAAAGATATATATATATATTATTATTATTATAGAGAGAGAGAGAGAGAGAGAGAGAGAGAGATGAAGAGAGAGGGGAGGGGGGAGGTGTGAAACGAAAGGAAGGGAAGGAGAGAAAGGGGGAAGGGAGGAAGAGATCGAGAGTGAGAGAGATACAGCAACTGGGTAAAAAAATATATATATATAAAAATGATTAAATAAACACATGAACCATATAAATCATTTGAGAAACCTTGTCTTGTTGTGTTAATATGCAGAAAATAATGAAT